ATTTAAAATTTATTTTTTTTATGGTGTTTAAAGGAATTTTCATTTAAAAATTAGCAAGAAAACATATAAGCTAAATATGAATATACAAGAAAGTGTATAAAATTTAAAAAAAAAACATGAAAAAGAACACATATACTATATTTGTGTTGATGGATGGATAATAAAGAGCACATATGATACTCTAAGTTTTAAGAAAACTAGAGTTTAAAAAAGAAAAATTAAAAACTTCTCATTTAAACTAGTAAACTAGTTTTCCAGTTTTTTAGATTTGTATTGAGTTTGGAAAATCAATTTTAGAGATTTTCAACAATTTTTCAATATAAAAATTTAATTGTTTTTCTAATAAAGGAAAAAAATAAAAAATACATAAACAATATAATTTTTTTAATATACAAGAATTTCTTAGTAATATAAAAGATAATTTTTTTATATTTTCATATTTAGTTAGTATCATAATTTATTTGTTTATTATAAATCTAATATAAATATTTTTTATTTAACAATAAATATTTTTCATGATAATTTTTAAGTTGAATGAAATAAAATTAATCTTCTATAATTAAATTATAAAAAATAAAAAATATTAAAATAAATATTATAAATTATGGTTTTGATTTTTTTATGAGTCGTGATGTAGTTTTTATTTTATGAAAAAACATATATGTTTATTTCTAGAAAATAAACACATTTTCTAATTTTCCCTTGAATTTGAATAAGAAAAAAATAAAAAAGTAAAATAAAATTGAAAAAAATGAATAACTTTTTTTTTATCACTAAACAATTTTTTGAAAATAAAGTAGTAATCTAATTTTCTGAAAAATTAGAGTTATAAAATCAAAAATTAAAACTTCATCTTCAAATACAAGATTTCTCCACCGAGTTTTCTAATAATATTTTAGATATTTATCACAATTTTTCTATATATTTTCACTATTTTTATAATAAAAAAACTTGAATAATAAAATTTATTTTCTTTTATATAAAAGCATTTTTTAGCATGAACATAAAATAAAAGATAAAAATTATTATTATTTATATTTATTTAGTTTTATAAATTTAAATTTTATTATTATGAAGATTTTTTTTGTTAAAAATATAAAGTTTTCATAATAATTTTTAATTTGAAAAAAATAAAATTAATATTGTAAAATTAGATTATAAGGAATATTAAATGTTAAAATGACTATTATAAATTAAAGTTTTGATTTTTTTACAAAAAATATTTTAAATTTATATGTATTTCTTATTTTTTTAAATTCGTTTTCTTATTTTTTTTAAATAATACATTTTTTTAATTGTTTATTGAAAAAACTAAAAAATAATAATTTTGCGTCACTCGTCAATAATTTTGCCTTGTCTCTCTTACAAAAGAAAAGGAAAAGAAACGTTTCTGACAAAGCGTTGGTCTTTTCTGACTAGTCAGCTCAGTTTGTCCAGAACATATAAAAACCACAAGCAGGCGACACGCCCTCTAGGTAGCTGAAACGTTTCGATTCTTCTTCCTAACCTTCTTTCTCTCTTCCTCTAACGGAAAGAAAGATGCTTGTTTGCTGTTAGATGTAAACTTGAAAGCTTTTTCTCTCTCTATAGTCTCTGAATATATATAAGAAAACGGCAAAGAAGAGAGAGGAAAGAGAGATGGGTATGCTGTTAGATGAGATAATAGAGGCCATGCCTGTGTTTGCTAAAGAGTTAGTTGCTGGGGGTGTTGCTGGTGGCTTTGCAAAGACTGTTGTAGCTCCCCTTGAACGTGTCAAGATTTTGTTTCAGGTATTATTGGTTTCTTTCTTCTATGGCGTGGTTCTCAAGATTTTGTTTGGCTAAAAGATGATTTTTCTGTTTTCTTGGTTATACATGATTGACAGAGACTCTATTTCCTTCTTTCTTGATGGGGTTTTCGCTTTTTTTTCATTGAGATATTGGAATTCTTGGACTTGTTTTGACTACTGGTGAACTTGGATTATGATTTATGAGCTCATAAATTAATATATACAGGAGATGGCTTCTTTCTTGGAATTTGTAGTAACTTAGGGAGTATGGGCCTTTCTGGATTCAAGCTTCTTCCTTTTTTTTTTAAATTAAAAAAAAAAACACTTCTGCCGGTGGTTCCTGAGAGCGATTCATCTTCTTCTTCCACCAGTCTTCCTTTCGTCAGTAGTTTGCTTCATTTTACATATACTACATGTAGAAGCATTTATTAGCCAACTACGTTGGGGAAAAGTTAATGAAATCAACTGGGCAGGTGTTTTCAGTTCCAATACTCCCTGTTCTCCTCATATTTATCCAGGACTATTCTGTTAGTTTTTTTAAAAAATACCGTGCTAAAGTTCGACATCATTAATCCTCAAATTTAAATTATTTTTATATTTTGAAAAAAAGAAAAGAAAAAAAGCATTATATCTGATTGTATCCCTGGCCAGAGGCATTCCTTAAGTTGGATTGGTGGTGTCCCCATGCAGAGTCATCAGCAATATCAGTCGATATTTTCTTCTCTGTAATACACAGTGGTGTGATGCGATACATGTACTTGTATTCATTAAACGGTAATGGTAATGGTAATGGATTTAAAATGTAATACTCTGTTTCAGATGTTCTTATTTCTTTCTTGTTTTTTCACCTCTTTGTTGGTATAACTTGTCCTGAGCAGAATTTCATAATAATTCTTTCTGGTAGCACCTTTGCATAAATAAGAATGTGCTTTTAGAAGACTAGTCAGGTTAGTATATTTGCTCATGAAATTTCCCCAGAAGCCACCAATCTTATAATGGTTTATCAGAAAGTCCGACTGTTTTCTGAGCCTTCGTGAAGCTTATGCCTGTCTGGGGTAACATAGGGGCTAGGGCTGCAAATCTAAACTTTTTCTTCCATTTTATTAGGTCATATTCATATAGGTCATACCCTTTCTGTGATTATAGTTCTATATATTTCTAGACTTCATGCTGGCTCTAAATACAAGTAATTAATTATGTTGTGTAATATAATCTGTAAATTTTAACCTTGTTTGGATGAAAAGGAGTCGATTTGTGTTGTACTTTCCAGACCAGAAGAGATGAATTCAAGTCTGTTGGGCTGTTTGGATCCTTTAAAAAGATTTCACATACAGAGGGGATTATGGGTTTCTACAGGTGGATCCCCCAGTTATTCATTTTCAGTCATGTGAAGGTTCCCATTTTCTCTTTTTTCTTTTAACCGTATATTTTGGGTTATTGGCAGAGGAAACGGTGCTAGTGTTGCGCGGATTGTACCTTATGCTGCCCTGCATTACATGACTTATGAGCAATATCGTAGATGGATAATCCTCAGTTTTCCTGATAATGGGAGGGGTCCTGTACTGGATCTCGTGGCAGGATCATTTGCTGGAGGAACAGCTGTGCTTCTTACATATCCTCTTGATTTGGTTAGAACAAAATTGGCTTACCAGGTAAATATTTAACCCTTTTCTTTTTTTATACAAAAAGCAACTCTTTTTTACGCCCGCACACATTTATTTAGCTCACCTAACTGACTAGGGGGGCCTGGAGACGTGCCAAACTCTTTATGCAGCAATGCTGAGGCAGGACAGCATCACTGCATTACTGTCCATTGGGTTTGGCTGCTCCTGGTGATCTTGAGCATCTTGTTAGAATGTGTTCATCCTCCCTTCCTCTGAAGCTCAAGATTTATATAAAATTGAGGATTTAGTTGATTTTCACTTTCCCAATTTGATTTTGATAGTGCAGATTGTCAGTTCATCAAAAGCTAATATTAATGGGGTAATTGGTATGGAACTAGTTTATAAAGGAATCCGTGATTGTTTCTCAAAGACTCTTAAGGAATCTGGGCTAAGAGGTCTCTATCGTGGTGTGGGTATGTAGCACTTAGCTTTTGTAAACTTCTCTTCTAATTTTGTCTTCCCATTCTTGGGAGGCTTTTCCAATTAATAAGTGAACATCATTGTCAGCTCCATCTCTTTATGGAATCTTCCCTTATGCTGGTTTGAAGTTTTACTTCTATGAGGAGATGAAACGACATGTCCCTGAGGAGCACAAGAAAGACATTGTGGTGAAAATGGTATGCGGCTCTGTTGCTGGTTTATTGGGCCAGACCTTCACATACCCTCTTGATGTTGTTAGAAGGCAAATGCAGGTAATTTTGCTTCTAGTGTCAGATGAGGCTTGGTTGCGAGAATAGATAGTAATTAGTGAAAATCATCTTAATAGGTTCAAAGGCTATCGGTGTCAAATAACGCAGAGTTAAAAGGAACAATGGAAACCCTTATTATGATAATGCAGAAGCAAGGGTGGAAGCAATTATTTTCAGGGCTTAGCATCAACTACTTGAAGGTGGAGAAACCCTGCCCCTTGTTATTCTTGTTGCGATAATTCCTGTGCGATTGCTTTTTTCTAACTGCTTTTTTTTATAAGCCTTTCAGGTTGTCCCTTCCGTGGCGATTGGTTTTACAGTTTATGATATAATGAAAGCGAGCCTTAGAGTCCCATCACGAGATGTGATAGAAGCGGTGACTGACAAAAGAAATAGTCAACCGTCCCTTCATTCTTGATACAAATTCTTAACTCCTAGCACAAATAATCAAATATTTTACGTTCAATTATTCCATGCTATAAAATGCCACCCGTAGGTTTCATCGCCTCTTAAACAAAGGTTGCAAAAGACATTCAAAGATTTGAGCATGTGTATCCACAGAACTGAAGACAGGATCCGCATTCATAATTGTATGTAAAAGAATGTGTAACATTGATTTGATACAGAATTTGTCATCAGCTAAATTATATTTTTAGTATGATATATCTACAAGGAACTGCTTACGGCATTTCAAGGGCTGCAAATGAAATTATGCCAATAGATTGGTGGCTTCATCATCGAAATCTTAAACACAGTTGTACCCAATAACCTTACTATCCCAAACAATAAGCTCCATCGCAACAGTTGGCCTTGACGGGGTGGTAATCAAACCATAAGCAACTACCAAAAGTTCGCTGTTGGACAGCAAGTTCTCTTCATCAATGTCGTGAATCACACATCTCATAAACCTCTCCCTCGTAAGGTTTTGGGCACTGAAATTCAGCGGCCGTACTCTTCTCCGCCAGCATATCACTAGCATTGTACTTCTTTCTTGGGGAAGACGGGACTATATTATCGTTGCCTTCAGAAGGATCAGGAGTAACTAACAACTACTCTACTGGATTCTCAAGTTCATGATCCCCGTGAATTCATGCAAAATGCCTAATTACCCTCAACCGTGGGCTCAAATGGCATCCTCTCAACAAACTCCTCAGATTCATATGAAAAACCAGCTTTCCCAAGAACATCAACAACCCCAAGATGGTGTTCGATCCCAGGAGGAACACCGTATTCAATCCTCATTGACAGAAAGTGTAGCAAACCTTCTTACACAGCCCCAGCGCAAGCACATGTCATGAACACAGCCAACGAAAGTCTCCGACTTGGGCTGCAACCGTAACCTTTTTTCATTTCCTCAACAAACAATGGACCATCAACTCCCTGCCCATTTGCGGCATATGCATTTATCAAGGAGTGCCAAGACCTCATGTTTCTTTCGCGCATTCTATCAAACATACGGCGTCCATCTCCGCATTCGCATGCATTTCAACCAGTTGATTATTCAATTGAACATCAAAAGCGAAACCGTTTCAACAATTCAAGTGCCTCTATACCCAGTTCGAGCGACTTCAAATTCGCCGAGGAATCCAAAAGAGCAACAAAACGCCCATAATCAGCAGATATATTTTGATCACCACCCATGGACTCTGTTGCTACCTTGACCTTTCCTTCCGAGCACAAACCCATCAACTGAATATTGAGTTTGGTGGGGGTACTGTTACGGGGCTTGCAACACGAAAAATATAAAATAAACTTGAATTATAAAAATAAATTATAAAAGTATAAGAAATTTTAAAATATATTAAAAAAATTCACGCTTCAAATAAAAATTTATACATAATTCAAACATTTTAAAATATATATTTTAAATAAAAATTCATACATAGTTCAAACATCTTAAAATACATAATTAAAATAAAAATTCATATATAATTTAAATAACTTTTCATTAACTAATAATTAACAAACTTAAAACAAATAATCTGCTGGTGTGTCATATAAACTAAAACCAGCTTCATTACCTTTATCTCTGTCATTATTTTTCAAACATTCATCAATATCATTAGCATCAAGAGGATTATTAGTGTCACTACTAGTACCAATACCAATATTATGAACATTAGCGCTACTACTAGTACCAACACCAATATCATCAATTTGAATCTCCAAATCACAATTCAAGTCAAATGTTGTTTGAAATGAAAAATTACCTCCACTGATAATTTTTTGACAATACTTATACTGATTTTTTTTAAAATTCTTATTAATATCTATACCATGTTGCCATTCCACATCAAACTTATTACCAGAAGAATTTTTTCTAGATGCCATAAGTAATTTTTTTAAACTTTTGGGGGTTAAAACTTGAATTGGTCAAACTCGATCAAAATCGGTCAAATTCATAATATCGATTCGATTTTACCGATTTTAACCGAGTTTGATCGATTTTGAGTTTTAACTTGCTTTGACATATTATATATATGTTGACTTATAAAATCACAAGATTTTAAGAGTCAACTCGTGATTTTGACAACAATGTTTGTTGGTGGTCCGAGAGCCTTTGTTTCATGGATAGTGGTTTATTGAAACCGCTTTATTTTTATAAAAATTTAACAATAAAAAATATTTATTTTCATTTTAAAAAAATTGACTTCATATTTTTTCTTAGTTAAAAAAATTAACTTATTTTTCATTAAAATGTTTTTATTTTATTTTGAGTAAAAACACTTTTTAGAAGTTATAAAAATCTAAAAATATCTTGTTATTTGTTGATTTTATTAAAGTTTAATTTTTTCTTTTAAAATTTATTTATTATATCAACTTTTATTCTCATTCTTTTAATTATAATTTTTTTTCTCTTATATTTTTTAATTGAAATTTTTATCCATTATATTTAGTTTTTATTTTTTAATTACTATTTATTTTATTTGATATAATTTATGAACTTGAGTGCTTTTTTTTTTAATTTTATCATCTTTCAAATTTTTATTTGTCAGAATTCTTCATTATTTTGATTGCTATTTATTTTATAAGCAATAATTTATGAAATTAGATTTTTTTTCAATTTCATTGTCCTTTAACTTGAAAGAAATTAAAACATTAATAAATTATTTTTCAACTTATTTTCCATGATATAGTCAAATATTAGAAAATATTTTTCAATTTATTTTTCATAACACTACAAAACATTAAAAAATAATTAAATTTTTCAAATTTCACTTTCCAAAATAAAAGTACTTTCTAGCAAATAAATGAGGTTTAAGAGAGGTTAAAGTTACAAGTTTAAGTGTTTGTTTGATATTATCATAAGATTTATTTTTCAAAGTGTTTTTACTTGGAAATGCATTAAAATAATTTATTTTTTATTTTTTAAAATTTATTTTTGACATTATCACATTAAAAAGATTAAAAAAACACAAAAAAAATTAACTTAAAACTAAAAAAATTTATTTTTTTCTCCAAAAATATGGTTAGTCTACGATGCCAAACATCACATAAATAGTTAGTACCAAATCATTTCCATTAAATTTTCATTTGAATACCTTTAGCTTATTTTTATTTATTGAATTTCTTGTTTCCTTTTAGTATGATACTAGTGAACATGGTTTGCCCCCGAGACTTGAATAATTTTTTTTTAAAAAAAGAATTATTTGCTATTGTTATTAAATTTGACCTAAAAAATTAATTTTAAAATTTTCTTATCTGATTTCTTGCATAATCCAAATTTAAAATTAAATTAAGTAGTAGTTGCCCTAACGTGACTTAGTTACCTTGAAAAATCCAAATATAACGCAAATAACTAGTAAAACAATATGGTATGACTATGAAAAAACTTCAACATGATATTTTCTCTAATATTGAGATGATGATATATTAGATTGATTTGAGCTTCACGACTAAACTCATTAAATCCATGATCTAGATAATAGACTATACTTAGTTTAAGAACTTTGTTTTTTTAAAAGGTTACATAATTATACGATAATAAAAATAAACTGTAACAGCCCGGCCCAACCTATCATATATTGTTCGCTTTGAGCCTTATTGTCTTTACGGTTTTGTTCCTGGTGACACGAGCTCACTTCTGAGCCCGACACCCAAAACATTTATGGTAAAGTAATGTAGTGGCCCACACCTATCATATATTGTCCGCTTTGATTCCCTCCTATCCCAGGGTTGCTAACATGCATGGTTTTCAAACACGTATGACAAGTTAGCATAAACACTA